TGTTAACTCACTGACGGGCCTGATCTGGCCTGCAGACTGCTAGTTTAATAGCTCTGTCCTAAGTTGTGGGAGTTATTTTAATATACACCATTTTTTTATTTTATTTATTTCTGCCAGATGTTTCAATGAGGAGAGCTGCCTGTCCCTCAAGCAGCTCGAAGGATAYCTGGTGGTTCTCCAACCCGACGCCCCTCAGATCTCTCTGTCTGGGGTCGGTCCACATCTGGCCCGTCCAGCTCCTGAATTTGAAGGTCCCCGCGGCGTTCCACTGTTCCCAGAGCTCCGGATCGTCTGCTCACTGTCGCATGCTGTCAACACAGCTGCACAGGGGATGGAGGGAGGAGGTGAGTCGTAACTGAGATTGATTCACTTTTTTTATTCAAGGGTTTTAGTAAAAATATTTAGCTGATTTCTACGATGCTTCTTAGCTCTGATGTCTGACGCCGTGGCTCACACTTTGGATGGTTGCGAGGTTCAGCCGCTGGGGGAGGAGTTAAACCCGGAGAGGGAGGAGCTTCTGGTGGACATGGACGTTGTGCGAGAGCGAGGATTGGAAATCATTAACACGACTGCTTACATTGCAATTACAGGTATGGCCGTTTTGTCAAAAATAAATACCTAATTTAGAAAAGTCACTTTAAAGTCACTTTAAAAAAAACATAAAATATTTAAGAAAATCTTAAGTTTTAATACCAAAACTAAAATCCATCATTTTAGTTTGTACATAGAAATACAAAACTCCATCTTTATWTTTTTGACTGTAAGAGAAAGTTAATCTGTAAAAATATACTCCCAATTCAAATACACAGGTGAACTTCACCTGTCTGGTACACAAATACTCACAGACCATTTTCTCTTCTGCCTTTTTCTTGATAAAACCTGCTTGTCTTTTTTTTCCAGCCCTTTTTTTATATTTTTCTGTTTGTTTTCTGTTTCCTCCAGGTGCTGAATCTATCTCTGTTTACGAGGACGTCCTTCGCTCAGTTCGATACCGCCTCGCCAAAGGCTCTGCTCGCTTTGAAAGGAGGTTCCGCCTGTCCTGCTCTGAGATGAACGGCAGATACACGAGCAACGAGTTGACTCTGGAGGTAAAGAAAACACTCACTCAGATAACACCACAGAAAATCCCTCAGCCATCAGCCTCGACATTTTGGGAAACAGTTTAAAAGCTGTAGTGTTAAATCCTTGTGATGTGTTTGCTGTGACTTCTGTTTTGCTTTTTCCTTTAGGTGAACTTCCTCCACTCCTTGGACAGCTTGTACCACCCGTCCCACCTGCTGGCCTCAAAGCAGCAGTTCCTCCTTCAGTCCCACCATGCTGGAGAGCTGAGCGGACACAYTTTGCCCAATCCACACCGCAACTCAGGTGACTTATTTCAGCTCTTGTAAAATCTACTAAGAAGACTTACTTTTAGAGGACCAGTATATTACCATTTCAATTAATTAATTTAGATAAATACAAACAAGAAAGTGTTTGAAAACATTAGTTTTTTCCTGCAGGAACAACCAACAAACTTAAATAAAATGTGTGTTAGATCTTGTTACTGCTTTTATTTGAGTGAAGCACAGACAAGCCAGCGACACATTTAAGCAGTTTTACCGTCAGCTTGACATCAAACCTTGCCTGCATAAAGCAGTCTGAGCGTGGCAGTGAGTGGATTACAGAGGCTGGCTGTGGCCGAGCAGGTTGTCTGAGCAGGATACCAAACACTGAAAGCTGACCTGACGTGTATTTAAGTCCTGGAGGTTGAGTTTGTCAGAGAGTTTTGAGTTGGACAGGTCGGCTGGCAGGTTTGTCTGTGAGTGGCTGAGCACCGCCGATTGAAGCTGACAGCTTCTYCTGCACCCAAACACTGGAGACCTGACACATATACAGGAAAAACTGGAGAATCTCTGGAAGTCAGAGAAACACAGAAAAATCATATTAAACAGGAGCTGCTTAGTGCTGAGAAACTGAACCGACAGTGTGGAGAGGGGAACGATGAGAGCTGCTGTAGGAGTTCATTCATCTCAGATTTGTAGGTAAAGGGTAGCAGCAGTCAACACACACACGCACACACACACACACACACACACACACACACACACACACACACAAAACAGACACACAGAACTGACAGTAAATTATAAGAAGTGTTTTCAACCTCAAATCTGATCTGTTTTCTTTGTACTCATGTTCATGAGATTATTTTTAAAATGTCATGTTTTTTTCAAACCAATAACGTCTTAGAAAACAAGCTCACATATTTGCTGCATCCTTTTAAAACGTGTATCAGTTCATTTACAACCATCGTCTTTTTTATATTTAAAGAGGACCTATTATGGGGTCCTTGAACAAGTTAGGATACATCTGTGGACTATAAAAAACATGTTCATTTGATTTAATTTACAAAATGAATCTCATAATGAGATTTTACCTTTTTCAATTCTGCCTGTTCTGAGCTCCTTTCAGAATGAGCTGTTTATGCAAATAAGTTGCTGTTGGAAATGCCCTCCCAAGCTTTTGGTTACATTAGCTCCGCCCTCCAAACATCTTTTATGTTAGCACTTCAGAAATGTGGAAATGCTAACTAGTGCCAGCAGATGCACAGTGGCAGWAGACGGGCTGCGCGCAGTGCGACCACCCTCAGGTGAGGTCTTGGTAGGGACAGACTGGAGCGTCCGACTGAAGTCAGACGCCTTGGTGCCGGGGAGGCCAACGAGCATCCTCTGCTTCCTAAAGCCGGCGAAGATGAACTGAGGGGCGGTCAAGGTCCCTGCCCAGCAGCCTGGAGGCTCCCACGCTGTGGCGCAGGAGTCTCCAGTCCTCCTGCACAATTCCTCCCTGCCGCGTTGTGGAGGGGGAAGTTGAAGCTGCTCGCCGCCTCCGTCATCGATCACGGCAGCACGTTCAGAAATAATTTGTGCTAAATGACAAATCATGTTCATACYGAACAGCAACACTGAACACATCACTTTACCAACATCTGCAGATTTGTGAGGAACTGTAGGGACAGAAGTTTTTCTTTAGGTTGAAAGTCCTTGTTTAATCCTGCTGTGTGCTGTTAGTAGTTTTCATAGTAGTCCATCATGCAGTTATTTACACAAACTACAACTTTCTATGGCAATATTGCTAGAACATTGCCATCAAAAATAAARTTAAGCCACGCATCTCTGTTCTCCATGACTGTTGTCAAAACAGCAGAATAGGGCTGCAACTAACGATTATTTTAATAATCGATTAATCGGTTGATTATTTTTTCGATTAATCGATTAATCGGCCAAATCATTAAAAACGCTTAATTACATGAATATGAGTAGATATAAATTAAGTTAACTCCTAAAAGATGCAAGTTATTGATAATGAATTAATCTGAAGTTGATTTGTCTTATAGATTGATTAACAGTTAATTAATAAGCAGCCATTAAAAAACAGAGTTTTCTCTTGAATCAAGAGGGTCTTTCCATAAAATGAAGGATTTTTTTATAATCTCCTGAATTAGAAAGCAGAAGCACACAGTAC